CAATGTGTTTGCAGTGGATTCTGAAATGGTGCCCAATCTACCATTGGATTTCCCCTTACAAGTTACTACCTCTTTTATATACAGGTGAAACTGGAAAAATTAGAATATCGTGCAAAAGTTCATTTATTTCAGTAATGCAACTTAAAAGGTGAAACTAATATATGAGATAGACTCATTACATGCAAAGCAAGATAGTTCAAGCCGTGATTTGTCATAATTGTGATGATTATGGCTTACAGCTCATGAAAACCCCAAATCCACAATCTCAGAAAATTAGAATATTACATGCAATCAATAAAACAAGGATTGTACATAGAACAATATCGGACCTCTGAAAAGTATAAGCATGCATATGTACTCAGTACTTGGTTTGGGCCCCTTTTGCAGCAATTACTGCCTAAATGCGGCGTGGCATGGAAGCTATCAGCCTGTGGCACTGCTGAGGTGTTATGGAAGACCAGGATGCTTCAATAGCGGCCTTCAGCTCGTCTGCATTTAAATATCAGTGTAAGAACGAGCGCTAGATCTATGTGACAGGAACAGCTGGCATGAAAGGTAATCACCTCAAAAGCCTTCTATAACACACATATCATACACCATGCTGCGCTTAAATAGATCAATTGGTATCCTTAATGAATATCTGTATAGCGTCTCTGTTTGAAAGAAGAAACGGGTATTCCACAATATTACAAACAGGTGATGAATCGTGACAATATATTAGATTATCGTATGGTGACTTCGGTGGTAAGTATAGCTGTAGAATGCACTAACCAGATAGCGCTTAGTATTGCGCATATAGTAGATGGAATTAGATCATCTGAGGTTGGACTTCTAGTGTTCGAATCCGTTGATAAACACGTCCAGGAATATTGGTATTGCGGCCAGTATAACCAAGTGATGCGATCCTAATCCACCAGGGGGAGCCGGCGGTCAAGATGTCATCAGAGATCCGCAGTTCAAAATCACAAGAATGTGTAGTGTAGCTGGAATCTCCCAGAAGGTGCCACTGGTTAGCATGTCATCCTCAGGGCTCTTAAAAAGGTGGGCTCAAAGAAAAAAGAGCCCAAGCACAAAAAGTTCCATAGTGCAACACTGCTTTATTTGAATTGTGAATAAAATATACAATAGCAGCACTTACACTTTCTATTGCCAATTGTCACCTGGCCAGATGAAGCATCCACGTGGTGAGGTCACTGAGAGCAACTTCCTGACATGTTTCGTGCTATAGCACGTTTTCAAAGGAAGCTGGCTGCTCTCAGTGACATTTCTTATATAATATGGGCGGCGCATGCGCACTGGGTTATCGTGACGTCATCGTCGTCCGTTCGCGCATGCGCAGTTCGTCCGTGCGGCGGCCATTTTAAAGGAGTCCAAAATAACATTGACTCCTATGGAAGACATCAGAGTTCAATGGGAGAGGCTTAGTAACTCCCTCTACTCAACTCCCTTACAGACAGCCACTGATTACACAGAGGAATGGACTTCTGCATTGTCCGGTCTCATGTCTCTCATTTTCTCTTGGCAATGCCCCATAGATTCTCTATTGGGTTCAGTTCAGGCGAGTTTGCTGGCCAATCAAGCACAGTAATCCACGGTCATTGAACCAGGTTTTGGTGCTTTTGGCAGTGTGGGCAGGTGCCAAGTCCTGCTGGAAAATGAAGTCAGCATCCCCATAAAGTTTGTCTGCGGAAGAAAGCATGAAGTGCTCCAAAATCTCCTGGTAGACATCTGCGTTGACCCTGGACTTAATGAAGCACAGTGGACCAACACCAGCAGATGACATGGCTCCCCAAATCAACACAGACTGTGGAAACTTCACACTGGACTTCAAGCATCTTGCAGTGTGTGCCTCTCCATTCTTCCTCCATACTCTGGGTCCTTGGTTTCTAAATGAGATGCAAAAGTTGCTCTCATCAGAAAAGAGGACTTTGGACCACTGAGCAACAGACCAGGTGTTTTTCTTTAGCCCAGGTAAGACGCTTCTGACATTGTTTGTTGTTTAGGAGTGGCTTGACAAGAGGAATACAACATTTGAAGCCCATGTCCAGGATTCGTCCGTTTGTGGTGGCTGTTGATGCACTGACTCCAGCCTCAGTCCACTCCTTGTGAAAGTCCCCAACACTTTTAAATGTTGAATGCTTGTGCACCTTTTTCTTCCACACTTTTCCCTTCCACATAACTTTCTATTAATGTTTTTGATACAGTACTTTGGGAACATCCAACTTCTTTTGCAATTACCTTTTGAGGCTTTCCCTCCTTATGGAGGGTGTCAATGATGGTTTTCTGCACAACTGTCAGGTCAGCAGTCTTTCTCATGATTGTGATTACGACTGAACCAGACTGAGAGACCATTTAAAGGCTCAGAAACCCTTTGCAGGTGTTATGGCTTAATTAGCTGATTAGAGTGGGACATTTTGAGCCTAGAATATTGCACTTTTTCACAATATTCTAATTTTCTGAGATTGTGGATTTGGGGTTTTCATGAGCTGTAAGCAATAACCATCACAATTATGACAAATCACAGCTTGAACTATCTTGCTTTACATGTAATAAGTCTACCTCATATATTAGATTCACCTTTTAAGTTGCATTACTGAAATACAGTAAATTAACTTTTGCACGATATTCTAATTTTTTGAGTTTCATCTGTATTTGGGGATCATGGTACAATTACCCCTAACCCCGTATATTAAAAAATAATCTGCTTCCCTGTATTGCTTTACTTAAAACTGACACTGCTAACTGGAAAACACTACCTCTAACTTTATTAGGGAATATAAATCTTTTCAAAATGATATTTCTACCTAAAACCTTCTTAATTACTTCACCACTACTATTTCCGCAAGCGATAGATTGATTCAATTACGTATTTTTCACAGAATTTATTATACACCCTTAAGGCTCTTTCAGATGCACAAGAAAGATAACCCTTAATGTAATAAATGTCATAATTCTAGGGGAGATCTTTTTCATATGCTTTGGAGCTGTGAAAAGATTTGTCCCTTTTTGGTCACTGGTTACTCAGTTTATTGCTACCATCCCAAATGGTGTATATTAGGGGTGCTAGAAGATATAGACCTCAGCTCCTATCAGAAACAATTTCTTTGTTTTATTTTATTTTATGCCAGAGAAACGGTGGTGTTAAAATGGGTTCAATCTGAAGTCATTTCTATTAATATATGGAAAAATTTGATTGATCAGGTATTACCACTTTACAAGTTGACCTATGAAGCAAGGGGATGCCCTCAAAAATGTGACCAAATATGGGGTTCAAAGATAGTTATTTGAAACTTGTATGGAGTCAGATATGTGATTAATTCTCCTTTTCCTAAGAACCACTTGGACAATGGTGTGGTTCGGTATGCAGAGGACTTACTTTTTCTCATGCTTATGTTACTTAACGGGCAGTGACTTGTATTTCTTCCATACTGGAAGGTTACTTCTGTACTTTTCTGTTATCCTACTTGTATTTGAACTTGGGAGATATGCCTTTTGGACCAACGGTTGTAGTTGTAGGTTAGGTTCCTGTTTTCTTTCCCTCTTTCTTTTCTTATTAGGCTCATTATCCTTTATTTAATATGTGTTGCTATATACAGTGTTGTTTCTCAACCATTGTGGGAGATTTTTTTAAGTTCATATTGTTTGTAATTATAATCCTCCTACGAAACATAATAGGCACTTTTGTGGTAGGCTTACCTTGGTCTATAACCTGCGACACATGCTGTATTGTATTTGTTGTATATGTTTAATAAAACTCAGTTTAAAAGAAAAAAAAATGGATCTGGAAGCAAAAGGGTTAATTGAACCATGGGAGAACAACTGGTGTAGATATTTCAGTGCCATTTGTGCCCACTGAGTGTCATTAGCAGCCCTTAAAATGTTTTAGGTCTGGGTAATACAAAATTGGATTTTTAGGAAAAATGGTTTGGACTTTCTGTGAGGACTTTTAAAACGCTTGTAAATTTTTAGTGACACAGATAAAACCAAATACACCGAAAAAGGTCATCGTTAATTTCTTTTGAATTTTTCTTTTATCTGTGACTTCATTAGGGATATTTCTCCTCATTTATTGTCCTTGTGACACCAATACACAAAATGAGGGGGACAGGCTCACTATGACAGCAAGACAAGAATAGCAATAAAAAAAAAACAAAAAAAAAACCACGACAAATGTTTATAATCCTGCTCCACAAAAAAGTTTTTGCTGCTGTTCCTGCATCCAACTGTACAGATTTACCATCACTTCCTGCTCCCTTCCTGGACCCCCTGCCACTGAGGCAGAAAGTGGAGGAGAAATACTCTCTAAAAGGGCACAGGGAGCTGTAAAATCACAACAGAGGTTATATCGCTTCCACCTAACCTTAAACCACAAGAGAAGTGTGGCCTTGCATGATGACATCCAGCATCTGCCATATAGGCAACTGGCATAGTTTCAGAAGACAATCTTGGAAATATATAGTCATGTAAAGGGCAAATCAAACAATTATTTTTGGCCAATAGCCTACTGTGTCTACAACATGAGTATTTTTGATGGCATGACTGCTTATATCCAGTAATACAGAAAATACCAACAAAAACAACACTATTCAGATAGCTTCATAATGCTTGGCCACTATTGTATACCTTTCAGTAGCTTTTGACCCTAAAATTGACCAATGGTTTACATAATTTATTAAATGATAATTTACATTTCTTCTCACAATTTTAGCCATTCCTGATGGGTCTATCACAGTAGCTCCTAAGGACATCCCACTTCCCTATTGCAAACACCTTTTAATACATTCCATTAGTTCTATATAAATTAAAATACATATAACACCATCACTTGGCAGATGTCTCAAAATGTGGTAAAATGTCTGAGGAATAGAAAAATATATATATATATATTTTTGGCTTATACAGTATCTTTTAGTAATACAATTTCCAAAAAAAAACAGTCAATAGATAGAATAGTCCTGTTTTAAATGTTTGGGAACTAATTAAAATTATTTAGCAATTACCTTCCCTTCGATGATTCGATACACCAAAGAGTTCATATCTTTAGCATTGAATGCATGCTTGAGAGTCGCTATCTCATACACACAGCATCCCAGGGCCCAGACATCAGACTGCAGAATTACAAAGATACACAGATTTCACCAATACTGTAGGGTTATATTGGTACACAATTATATGTGGTTTCTCAAAGATTAACTACAATACCAGGAAACAAAAGAATGCCACATCCAGCCCATAAAAGCTATCAATCTAACTGCTTGACAATTTAAATGGATCTACACTTAGTTGTCAACTTAAAATTGTAAACAGTCTTGTTGGGATGGATAAACCTACTGTAAGTGCTATTAAGGCACACATCTTTATTTTTTCCCTGAAAAAAAATCTGCTCCATGTTTGTTCTAGTGCTATTGACATAGCCAGCCCTAGAGAGGCATTGAGCAGCATTTTCTTAAAAACAAGCAGCATTTTTTTGGCCCCTTCATTACGCTTTTTTTCATGCATCTCAGCAATATTGTAATTATAGCTTTTTATTATTATTATTATTATACAGTATTTATATAGCGCCAAAGGGTTTGCTCAGCGCTGTGGACTTTAAGTGGACATATGAGTATAGGCCCCTTTGAAGTCATGCTGTTTTGCCAATGCTGACCTTCAAGCTGCTTATACTTGCCTACCTTTTGTTCCGCTGCTTTTCTTTCATGTAAGGTCTGGTTGCACATGGCTAAGGGTTCTCTCTCTTCCCTGGAGCAATAACAATGATGCCAGGTGATTGGTTACACATATACCCAGTATTACACCACTGGAGGAAAGGGAGTGAGTCACATGCTCTCAATATCTAGATATATTGGGTAATTATCTTCACTCTCCAGAGCCAAAGTGGTGGGGGAGTAAAGGATGAATAGAAGCAGATGGGGTGCAGTTAATGGACGTTGCATGGGCAAAGCACATGTTCACTTTAAAGTGATATTAAAGACAATTTTGTAAAAATTAAAATAGAAAAGCGGTTACACTTACCTTCTCTGGGCAATAAAACTGCACAGAAGGGTCCCTTACTCCCTCTACTGGAATCCCATCACCGGCGCTGTCTGCTTCTCCCTGCTCTAGGTGCCTTTTAGGAAGTCATGTGCTATAGGGGCACCCATGCGAGAATGCTCCTAAGCTGGGCTGTTTGTGTCCATAGACTCACACATTGCTGGTAAGCCACAGCTCGGCTCCCACCTCACAGGAGTTTGACTGACAACAGCAGGGGCCATTGGCTTCCGCTGCCCTCAGTGTCTCCTGTGAGACCAGGAAGAGAAGGGAGCGGTGCTGCAACCGAGACAGTGCTAGACTGGTTATAGGAGTCAGGGGAGTATTTAGTAATGGAGGGGCGGGACAATTAGTGGTGTGTTTTTGACCTTAATGCAGTCCACCATTCTTCCTAGGCTTTACACTATACCCATATTTAGGGAGTAACATAAAACATGTTCACAATCTGCAGCCCCCCACCGCTAACCCTCCCCCCTTATGAATCTGGGGGTACTTCTCCTTGAAGTGCCCTGTTTATTTTGGAATTTCCAGAATAGAAACAAAAATTATAAACAGACCTTATAGCCCATATCTCTATTAGATAGGGAAAAAAAAAATCATACAGTACTGGAGCCCAAAGCAGAAAACTTTTACTACAGACACTTATACAAAATGTCTACCTTATAGGTCTGCCACAGAAGTTGTGTGTGTGTGTGTTTGTGTGTGTGTATATGTGTGTGTGTGTGTGTACACATATATATATACATACACACAGTTGTGTTCAAAATAATAGCAGTCAGACATCACTAACCTGATCAAACACTGTTTTTGGTAGAAATGATATTTCTACATGGCAAATAATTTACTAACAGGTGTAGTAGAGTAATAGAAATCCAACAGACCCAACAGTCATGACATGCATGCTGCTGATTCTGTGTAATTGAATCGCTACTTGAAAGGGACATGTTCACAATAATAGCAGTGTGGAGTTCTATTAGTGAGGTCATTCATTCTTTGAAAAACAGGTGGCAATTATTGCCCTTATTTAAGGAAGGAAGGCAGCAAATGTTGTACATGCTGGTTACAGTGCATTTCTCTCTGAAATTCTGTGGAAAATGAGTTGATTGGAGAGGGGAAAACATATAAAGAAGTGCAGAAAATGATAGGCTGCTCAGCTAAAATGATTGCAAATGCTTTAAAATGGCAACCAAAACCTGAAAGACGTGGAAGAAAGCGAAAAACTACCATTCGAATGGATAGAAGAATAGCCAAAATGACAAGGACTCAGCCAACAATCAGCTCCAGGAAGATCAAAGAAGGTCTAAAGTTACCTGTGAGTACTGTTACAATTAGAAGACTCCTATGTGAAGCCAAGCTATCTGCAAGAAGCCCCCGCAAAGTCCCACTGTTGAAAAAAAGACATGCTGAAGAGGTTACAATTTGCCAAAGAGCACACTGACTGGCCTAAAGAGAAATGGCGCAACATTTTGTGGACTGATGAAAGTAAGATTGTTCTTTTTGGATCTAGTGGCCGGAGACAGTGTGTCAGACGACCCCCAAACACTGAATTCAAGCCACAGTACACTGTGAAGACAGTGAAGCATGGGTTGCGCAAGCATCATGATATGGGGATGTTTCTCATACTACGGTGTTGGGCCTATTTATCGCATACCAGGGATCATGGATCAGTTTGAATACATCAGAATACTTGAAGAGGTCATGCTGCCTTATGCTGAAGAGGAAATGCCCTTGAAATGGGTGTTCCAACAAGACAATGACCCCAAACACACCAGTAAACGTGCAACATCTTGGTTCCAGACCAACAAGTTTGACGTTAAGGAGTGGCCAGCCCAATCACCGGATCTTAATCCAATAGAAAACTTGTGGGGTGACATCAAAAATGCAGTTTCTGAGGCAAAACCAAGAAATAGAGAAGAACTGTGGAATGTAGCCCAATCATCCTGGGCTGGAATACCTGTTCACTGTGCCAGAAGTTGGTTGACTCCATTCAACACAGATGTACAGCAGTTCTCAGAAACAGTGCTTAAACAACTAAATATAATTAAGTGATTCAAAGGAAAGCAAAATCTTCAAACATTTTTCAGTTTATATAGTGAATGTTTGAGTTTGTAAAGAAGAATACAAACACTGCTATTTTTTGGAACAGTCTAATATTCATTTTTCTTCAATTTTTTTTAGAGGAACAACACAAATTTGATATATTTTTCTTCATGTTTTTATTTGGAATAGAATGTGTAGGTCATTTGTGTGTATGGAAATAAAAGCTATTAGAAGGATTTTGAGCTTTATTCACTTTTTCAACACATTGCTATTATTTTGAACACAACTGTATATGAAGAAACAAAGAAAAAACATGTACTGTATATACTGTAACTCTTATGCAACCAGCACAAAACATTTATATATTATTAAAACCCAAAACACAGATTAACCACTTGCCCTCCAGAGGATTTACCCCCCATTCTGACCAGGCCATTTTTCATGTTACGGCGCTGCGTTATTTTAACTGACAATTGTGCTGTCATGCAACGCTGCACCCAAATGAAATTTACATCCTTTTTTCCCCACAAGAGAGAGCTTTCTTTCGGTGGTATTTGATCGACTGTGCGTTTTTAATTTTTGCGGGACCGCGGCGGGCATTCTGACACTGGGGGGAACTGATCTGGTGTCACTGACATCCCCAGTGACACTAATACAGTGATCAGTGCTAATAAAAAGCACTGACACTGTTCCAATGGCAATGGGCAGGAAGGGGTTAACCTCTGGGGTGATCAAAGGGTTAACTGTGTGCTGTTTTACTGTAAGCTGTGTGTGCGTGTGTTTCACTGTAAGCACACTGCTTTGCATGGCTCTGCTATGCAAAGCCATGCATAGCAGTGGGCAGGAGCTGACAGGGGAGAGAACTGTATTGTTTACTTACTGTTCTCTCCCTCCGTCGGTAATACTCCTCGATCACCGGGTACCAGAGAGTAATCACTGGCCGGGACCCAATGATTGACAGCCGAGGCCACGAAATGCAAAATCACGTATATATACACATGATTTTGCGCACTCGTGCCACCCTGTAGCAGTATATCTGCTATAGGGCGGTGGGAAAGCAGTTAAAATCAAGGTATACCTATTTAAAATAAACTATCCCCCAAGATGTTCCTTTAATTGGAGAAATGTATGAATGCATTCTAAAGTATAAATATGTATGTAAACTTGCTTATAAAGGACATATAAAACATACTAAAGTAGAACTATAGGTAAAACTTTTTTTTTTCATTTTGGATAAAGCGAGGGAGGGTTATAACCCGTCAGACTTTTTATTCACCATCTGTGCCCTATTGCCCATAGCCAAGCAGGAAGTGAGAGGAAATCCCTTCAAATTAAGGGAATTTTTTCGGAAATGCAATTGCTATGCTTGGAAGGTTGTGCCAGCTCATACCCTTGTATGATCTTGGTCCTTCGTAACTTGCTTTGGAGGATTTATAATTTTATTGTCCTTTTGAGTGAAGCAAATGACCTAGTTGCCTTTGAATTTATGTTCTATAGCTGTTTCACTCACTTAGAGATTAATCGATATACTTTTAGAAGAAATTAAGAGACTTGATATTTTGAGAGAGCACCACAACTATTCTTACATGTTGTTACAACCTTATTGATTTTTTTATTTATTATGTTCTATATGTCCTTTATAAGCAAGTTTACATACATATGCAGATTTACATTTTATACTTAAAGGATCATCTTGGGAGATCATTTGTTTTTATTAGGTATACTTTGATTTTAATCTGTTTTGTTTTGTGTCTTTATAATTTTGTAGTAAAAAGTTTTGTGTTTGTTAAGAAGTTGGCTGCATAAGAGTTCTATTTTTTTTTTCCATATATTTGAACTTGTGTGGCAGCTTTATAAGATAGTCATTTTGTAAAAGTGGTCTGTATGTTGGAATTTGGCGCACAGCCGCATCATTCATTTAAAGGATAAGTTCACCTTTAGCACAAAAATAATAAAATGGCCAGTTTTTTGCAGGTAAAAAAATGTGCATTCATTTTTTTTTGGCTGCAGGAGCCTGCAAAACATTGCACCAGCGATCAGCAGATCGCTGGTGCCATGCTGGTCTCCTACAGACCTGTCAGTATATCTGCTTGCCCGTACGGGATATATGGGCATGCAGATATACTGACAGGAAAATCAACTAACTACTATGGCGGTGTGAACCACAAGCCAACAGCCACTGAGTGAATGATGCGGCCTTGTGGGCCGTGCTGTTTTTAAATCTGACAGCTAGTACGGGGAACTTCTCCCATACTTCTGTTGGGGGGGGGGGGGGGGGGACAGCGGGTGATGGCTGCAGAATTGGGAATATGTTACATGTTCCACCCTAAAAACGAGTGGAACATGTAACTTATTCCAAAGGTGAACTTATCTTTTAAAGGATGCACTGTAGCAGAGGAATAAGTAATTTTAAATGGAGCATAAGTGTTGTGCTGTTGCCCATATGTAGTCCATCGATACTTCATCAAGCCTTGCAACCGAAGACCTTTGAAACCTTAGCAGGCACTGGGACTGGTGAAATAGTCAATTAATGTGGATGCATTTTGCAAAAGGTAAAATTAGCCTTTAAGTAGCATTAAAGGATAAGTTCACTTTTTGCCCAAAAAAATAAAATAAATGCACATTATTTTGCAGGCAAAAATAATAATGTGCATTTATTATTTTTTGCAACAGGAGCCTGTAAAGCATTGCAGCAGCGATCAGCAGATCGCTGGTGCCATGCAGGTCTCCTGCAGACCTGTCAGTATATCTGCTTACCCGTATATCCCATACGAGCAAGCCGATACACTCTGACAGGAACTACAAGCTGACAGCAGCCGTGCAGGTGGAGCCTCACATGGCCGTGTTTTAAAAAAAAAAAATATTTTGACAGGCGAAGATGATCCTCTGCTCTGCAGCAGGCGAAGATGATCCTCTGCTAGCTGGCAAAGTGGGGGACAGTCCTTTCATAACATGTTACACCCTGAATATGTTACACCATAAATATGAACCTATCCTTTAAACGCTTTAAAAAATGTTAAGGTAGATAAGTAGGAAACCCATTTCCTTTTCTTCTAAACCCTAACTTCTGACACAATGTGTCCAGCAATTGTTATCGTAATATAAGCATTTAGTCAAAATTACCTTATAGTTGTATGGTTTATTGGAGAAAAGCTCTGGGCTCATGTAATAGGGAGTCCCAATAAGAGTGCTGGCCATATCATACTGGCTCTCCAGGACCCTGGCAATTCCCAGATCTCCCACTTTGATGATATTGGATTTTGTCAGGAAGATATTCTGAGTTTTCAGATCCCGGTGCATAATGTGCAAATCATGTAAATACTGCAAACAAATGTGACAGCGTTAATAACCAAATTAAAAGTATTTTTAAAATGCAAGCCCTGCCAAATTTTTTACCACTATTCAGTGCCCCATTAGAGCGATTTACCTTTATATCCTGTCCAGTTAATTCAGTACTACATTTACAAGCAAAGCTGACACTTGGCACTGTTAAGGATCAGCTGTGATGGATTTTTACACTTGTCAAAGTGACAGACAACAGTAAGGGCATGTGCTGTGCAGGACAACATGCATACACAGTACTATGAATTTAAAGCTGAACTCAAGGTACAGATACGTTAAAGTATTCCTCAATAGCCAGAAAGGATGTAAATTTACTTTGCATGCACCTGTTGACCTTGCAAACCCAGTTATTAAAGGATAAGTTCACTTTTGGAACATGCTACATATTCCACCCGTTTTTACATGTTCCGCTCGCTCATGTTCCACCACGTTACATATTCTGCCCGCTGCTCTCTCTTCCTGTGATAGCTGTATGGAGAGAAGCTCCCTGTACAAGTAGTCACTTTTTGAAAACAGCACAACTGTGAGGGCCCTGCCCACATGGCTGCGCCATTCATTCAGTTCTGTAAATTAATGAACTATTAAACAACAAAAAAGAAAAGTAAGTGCAAATTTTTTTTACCTACCAAAAAGTGAACTTATCCTTTAACACAAAGGAAGCAGTAACATCATAATCTGTGCAGAGAACAGACTTATGCACTGAACTCAGCAGGCCCATCCACATCAGAATGGCTGCAAAAAACTACAAGAGAGTGTGAATACAAGACAAGTCACCCTGCAAGAGAACAGAAAGCATCAGTGACTTGTCTTTTTAACAGAAAACTTCTCCACAGAGATAAGGTTTCACACTGGAGCACAGATCTGAAATAAATACAGTACATAAAGAATATACACCCCTCCTGTATTTAGACAAGATTTGCTTGTCCTCAAGAATAGGCAGTGAAACCTCAACAAAGATAGTGCTGGCCTTCAGTTATCTGTTACCTCTTCCTGCAAATGTTGAAAATGTACTGTACTCTGCTGCAGATACTTGTACCTGTACACCCAGAGCTAGGTGCTTGCTCCCCAGTGGATCATTCTACACCTTGGAATTCAATACTGGTAAAAAGGAAAGGCAGCCAAGTTGTAGGTTTTATGCGTGGCCTAGTGCAAGACATACCACCTTAACTCAGCCCTCTGCCATGTTTTACTTCAACAATTAAGCTCAATACGAATGGTCTGTCGGGTGGTCTGTCTTGCACTGGATGGCACGTTAATTCTTCAACTATGGCTTTAAAAACTTTGAATGTGCCTGTCTTTCATTTACTAGTATTATAAATTGCTAAATGTTACACATTATTGAGAAGCATGCTCTTAACTTAAAAAAATAGAGTGGAGCCTTGGTCTTCTATAATAGGGCAAATAGAAATGAGCAAAGTATAGTACCATGAAGTAAAAGGTATGATTCATTGTTGCGATTGCTGTAATACTGATATCTCAAATGTAATTAGTGAATTGTTGTCTTTTGTACACCATCCCTGCTCTATGTACTGGTTATGATAAACTAAAACAGAGTGTTATTTTGAAATATGGATAAAAAAAGAAATTCGCAAAGACGATCGTGCAGAGCCTATATTTCACATGTTTGACACACTTAGCCTCGGTTCACACTATGAACTGCATATGAATCACACAGGAAGTACACCGTATTTCTGTGCAATTCACATGCTATTCAGTGCAGTATGATAAGCCCATTTATTTTGAATGGCCTCAAATCGCACCGCATTGCACCAATTTTGGAACCATACTGCAACCAAATTGCATGGTTGCACAGTGATCCAATGCAGGAAAATGCACTGCGTTTGCGACCTGTGTTTGAGGTGTCATTAAGAGTGCACTTACACTCACTGCAAAGCACAAGGGCACTTCGACTGGATTGTGGTATGGAAAATGTGAACCTAGGCTATACATATTTCATTTAGTTTCCTGCTGGTACATGTGATTTGCAGTGTTTATTTTAATCAAAGATTGTTGAGACAATAAACATTTCAGAACTAGAAATCTTACCTGCAGTGCCATGGAAATCTGAACAAACCACTCTACCACTTGGCTCTCTGGAAGTAGTTTACCCTTTTGATCTTTGAGTTTACGGTACAAGTCTCCTCCTTCACAGTAGCCCATGACAATGTACAGCAATCCATCCTCACCCTCCCAGGATTCTTTATAGGCCACAATGTTAGGATGTTTCAGTTTAGAAAGGAGCTGAGCCTCTTGCTCTGCTGCCTTCCGCTCCCTACGAGGGGCATTGCGAAGGCTCAGCTTTTTAATCACATACTGTGAAAAAAATTAACAGAAAAAAACACTTTAAAATTACATGAAATACATTTTTTTTGTTTGCTATTATTACTACTTATAGTACATTGTGTAGAACCAATCTGTTCTGCAGGATATAATAAAGAACACAGATTTATTCACATCAAACTCTGAAGTGAATTTCAATCCAATCTGTGCAGGGTTTATTTTAGAGGAAGCCATTAACAGTATGTTTGGGGAATGTTGATGAATCTAAAGCACCAGGATAAGGCCAAAACAAAAACACAAAGCCATACTGATTTTATACCTGGCTGTTTTCCCAGGAGCATGGGATAAAGGGTGCTGCATTGATAAGCCACTCTTGTCACCCTATTTCAGTGGTTAAAGCTGAACTCTGGGATAATCAAATATTGCCTACTTAAAGTGTTTGTAATTAATTAAGTTTTTTACCTTCATGCATTCTATGCATGAAGGTAAAAAAACCTTCTGTGTGCAGCAGCTCCCCCAGACCTCCCCAATACTAACCTAAGCCTCATCACAATCCAGCGATGTGAATGCCAGCCTTGGCTGGCCCGGGTCTCTGCCTCTTTATTGGCTGAGCCATTGGCTCCCGCTGCTGTCAATCAGCCAATGAGGAGAGAGAGAGGGCAGGGTCAAACCATGGCTCCCACAGTTCTGCTCTCCGTACAAGCTATGTACAGAACAGTGATTATGTCATTGACATATTTACCAGGTAAAATCTGGGTCTGCAAAAGTATTTGGTGTACACAAAGTGGATTGCTATCCTTTGTGGCTATTGAGAGTAATACACCGATCAGCAATAATATCATAACCACCCATCAAGGCATGGTCTCTGCTATCTGGAACCAAGCTGTCAGTAGAAGATTCATTAAACTATAACTAAAAGGCAAAACTTTTTTTTTTTTTAGTTTTGAATAGAGTGGAGAGGTATTAGAACACCTGTACGTTTCTATTGCTGTCTGTGCCCCCCTTAAGTAGATTCACCATCTCTATTTGTCCATCATCATCGAAAGTGAAAGTAAAAGAAAATCTCAAATTGTGGGTTGACATCTGAAGACTATGATAAAGGAAATCTTCCACCAGGGACACTAGATCTGGTGATACACCAGGTTTCCTTCACTATGGAGGGATTTCCTCTCACTTCCTGTTTTGGTTATGGGATAGGCAGTGAGGGGAAATTTCAAATAGGTCACAGATGGCGAAAAAAAACAAAACAAAAAACAACTTATGGGGGTTATAATTCAAAATGAAAAAAATGTTTTGCATTTAGTTATACTATAAGTCCTGTAAGTTGCGAGGTCGAACACATGACCGAAAATCACCGGCAAAATGGAGCCGGTCAATTTGACATTTGGAGCCTTGCGGGCTATATAAAGGGTGTTTAAACAAGACGTTGGCAATGGGCATACCGCTGAGGACGTGCTGTTGTACGAAAAGCGTTGGGAGCCTAGATTGCTGACGTCACGCCACCACTACCGAGGAGCGGTGGCCATCTTGGTATTTGAATGTACAATTTATTTACTCCACGTGGATGTTTTCTTACTACTGTGATTTAAACTTATCAATAAAGACTGCACTATAGAAGCACATTCTGGCTCCTGTGCTTGAGCTGATTCCTCCCAGAATTAGATGACACCTGCCCCAACGGAAGGATGGAGGGAGCTGCAGGAGTAAATCCGGAGCTGTTATCATACCCCCAGATGTGTGAAATAAACAGATGCGCTGATTTACTTGCAGTCTGGTTATGTACATCCATCCGAGGCGGTAGATTCTCTTCATCAATAACCGCACGTTTGCACTTGCACACTTGGATAAAGGACATTAGCAGTTTTCACTGCCTGCTGTATAATATTTGTGGTCGTCACGGACTCTCAGTGATTCATTTGATTGCACTATTCATGCACTTGTCTGCACTTATAAATATCTTATATCATACTCGAATATATAGTTTCATGAATTTACAGAGCTGCACGTTTATGATATATGTTTACATTGGGACAGTTACCGATACCTTAACCACTTGCCTACCGAGCACTTATACCCCCTTCTTTACCAGGCCAATTTTCAGCTTTCAGCACTGTCGCAATTTGATTGACAATTGCACGGTTATGCAAGATTGTGCCCATATGAAATTTTTATCATTTTTTTTTCTCACAAATAGAGCTTTCTTTTTTAGGGGTAATTGCCGCTGGGCACTTTACTTTTTGCGCTATAAACAAAAAAAGTGCAAAAAAATTTGAACCAAAAAAAAAAAAAGTTTCTTTGTTTCTATTATAAAATTTTGCAAACAGGTAATTTTTCTCCCTCACTGATGTGCGTTGATGAGGCAGCACTGATGGGCACCGATAGGCGGCACTGATGGGCACTGATAGGCAGCACTAATCAGGTGGCACGGAAGAGCGGCACTAATAGGCAGCACTAATGAGGTGTCACGGATAGGCGGCACTGATAGACAGCACTGATAGGTGGCACTGACTGGCATCACTGCTAGGCATTGACTGGCGCAACCGCTGGGCACTGACTGGCAGCACTGCTGGGCTGCACTGATGGGTGGCACTGGTGGGCACAGGTAGGTGGCACAGGTGGGTGCACTGCTGGGCACAGGTGGGTGCACTGCTGGGCACCGATCATCAGGGCACTGATCATCAGTGCCCTGATTATCGGTGCCGATCCCTGCTCTGACAACTGCTGGTTCTCGGCAGTACTTTCCTCATGATCTGACAGCATGAGGAAAGTGCAGCCGAGAACCGGCAATTGCATTTCCCGGTGATCAGCGTGTCACTGGACGCTGGCCTTTTACCACATCACGTGATCAGCTGTGTCCGTAGGACACAACGATCACGGAGATCACCGGGTGTGCGCGCCCCGAGGGCGAGCAGGAGAGCGTGTTCTGGAAGGACGTCATATGATGCCCTCCCAGAACTGGCCGGCCGCAGTGTAGCCGTCATTCGGCTATCTGCGGTTGGCAAGTAGTTAAGTGCTAGCAGCTATTTCATTTTGCACTTTATATATTCGAGTATGATAAGATATTTATGTTTCACGAGTTTACAGTGCTACACATTTATGATATACGTTTACATTGGGACAGTTACCGATACCTTAAGTGCTAGCAGCTATTTCATTTATCCATAATTAATTTATTTGCATAATTTTACATATAATTTTTTAGAACTTGCTTTTATACTCTCTTTTTATGTGAATTAATGAATATGTATATTATTACTTATACAATACAGTACTAACGACTACTAGGTATAACACTAACTATAAGATCTCGTTATATGCGCTCGCTTATATTTCTTTTTAAAATTGCAAGGTAGGTCCTCCATAGATCAGAATTGCTATTCCAGCACATCCTACAGGTGTTCGATTAGACTGAGATCTGGAGAATTTGGAAGCCAAGATAACACCTCAAACTCATTGTTGTGTTCTTCAAACCATTCTGGAATTCACACTGCTTCTGTGGTACAGTTCTGATGCTCAAATACCCACTGTAGGAGCTGTTGGCTGTGGACAGGGGTCAACATGGTCACCTTGACTGGTCTGTGGCTGAGCAGCCCCATACTTCAGCTGAGCAGGCCCAGCAGCAACAATCTGTGATACACTGTGCTTTTCAACACCTTATTATCAGAACCAGCAATAACCTTTACAGCAATTTGAGCTACAGTGGATTGGACTACACGAGCCAGCCTTTGCTCCCCACGTGCATCAATGAGCCTTGGCCACCTATGACCTTGCCGCCGGTTTTCCAGTTTACCTATCTTGGACCACTTTTAGTAGGTCCTGACTACTGCAGATCAGTATTATCCCACAAAGGATGCAGTTCTGGAGTTGCTCTGACCCAGGCATCTGGTTGTTACAATTTGGTCCTCGTCAAAGTTGCTTAAATCCTTATTCCTGCCCATTTTTTCTGCTTTCAACACATCAATTTCAGGTACAACTTGTTGCCTAATATATGCCACCCATTTTCAGATGCCATTGTAATGACAAAATCAATGTTATTCACTTTACCTGTCGGTAGCCATACCTTTATGGCTAATCGGTGTATATAAAATGGGAATTTTTTAGTGCATGGAGTTTAAAGTAAACCTCCCATAAACCTGCAATTCAAACAAGCATACAATAGTAAAGGTTGTTCTTGCTGAAAAATACTGCGACAGAATGACTGGCAGATCCAGAAATGTTTTTCTTCTAAGGTCAAGCTTGGCTTCATCACTCCAACTTTCTAAGGCTCCATATTATTTGACCCAAAGACAGATTGTCAAAACAAGCTCATGGCCTAAAGCTGCAACACCGGCAGAGAAGTTTTTCTATAAATTAATCACCAGGCTGTACTATCTCACCATATTATGCAAAAATGATATTTGCAACCAAAAAGCTACCCCATCACTTTACCACCACCCCAACCAATCCCATCCCCCTGTCATTGTGATTCACAAGCTCACCTGCTTCTCCTTGGAACCCAGGACTAAAAAAATGGATTCAGTGTGGCAAACTGTGGCTACAGAGAGGTGTTTGATGGCGTGGGCAGCAGGAGAGGTAAGTTTTTAACACTCTTCTTTTGCTGCCAAATTAATTAAACCACTAAAATGTTTACAATATGGTTTCTTCAAAGTGTTTCAAATGTCAGAAAGTAATTTGCTATTGTAGGGGACATTTAGAAATGTTAATTGGGTCTATGAAGTGAAGAAAATGTACCTTTTGTCTGAAATACCCAATTAAAAATATCAGCACACTTCCTGGTCTGCGAGTGTGCCTAGGCACTCCTGTGACTACAGCCTCATACCTATATATCTGCAGTATGAGATCTAAGACACTGCTGTCTCTGACTACTAGTTTAAGAAGACCTTGAGTGAGATTTGGTGATGTCACTACTATCTTGCTCACGGTTTGCCTTGCTGGAAGCTCTGACATGACAGAAGAAAAGTACTGTCTTTAGTAGAAAAACAAAACCACAGCACAAGGTTACCTTACCAGGACTAAACAATTTTTGTTTGTCT